CTTGAGGCATGTATTGTAAAAAGTGGGGTATACAAATAAAGTTGCTACAAAAAAAAACGTTAGCACATCGGGAAAAGGAAAGATTAAGCTTTCATAAATCCGTGTATTTTAGCCAAAACAAGACTTCGTCACTTTTCTTTTTCCGAGGTTCCCCATGTTGGAAAGGACCTTGGAGGCAAAATTGTGGGGATTTCAAAACACGCGTATTCCATGATTGGCTCGCCAGGGCCCGGTCTTGCCGCTCCCCCACTCTCCCTTGCAGATCTCCCCACTTTCGTCAATTGCTTCAAAAACATCACGAACATAGTAGTCCTCTAACTCGGAATAGGTTTATTCTCCATGCAGGCTTCTCGGTGACACTATTTTTCTTGGTCGACTTTGTCATCTCTCGGCAGACGGGAGGGCCAAATGAGTAGCCCCCCGACGTGCGCGGCATCTTTAGCACAAAATTCAGACACAACATCAATTCAGACAATAACGTCCATTTGCCTCGTCAGCCCGGGCTCTTATTATCCTTTCAACCGAAACCGAAAAAAGAGCTGCATTTGACTCTGCTTCGCACCCCGGGAATGCAACGGTGCCCTGGCCACGGCAATCAAAAAGAGAGCAACGATGCCCTGATCATGGCAACACGGACAGCACATACCAGAGGGCACCTGCACACAGCACGGAGTCTCCGAGGCTTGCACTGGCATAGAGAAATGTTTCTGATCCCGAGCGCATTGGGCCGATTTCCTGCATCTGTCGGCATGGCTAAACACCAGCAAAACCGTGCTGGAGTTGGACTTCCTCATACATTCCCAAAAGGCAGAAGTAGTGCCCCACCACACCCAACACCACGAACACGTGCCAGATGTTATGACTCTGGAAAATGTAGTCCACCCACCACAAGGACAAGAAATCTCTGTGGAAGGGCGTGCGCATGGGCGACTCGGGGAAGTGTTTTTTCAAAATGTCGTTCTGTTGCATCGTTTCATCATCCAGCACGGCAGACGCACAGGTGCATGTCGCGCGCGGCCCGCTGGTGACTCCACCACTTCCTACGGGGTTGGAGTCGTCGCTCATAACAGCGCTTTCCTGCACGCCAGAGCCGGGCCGAGTGTCGTGGTGTTTCTCCGGGGACCGTGCGGCGCTGCGCGGGTCAAGTGGGTCGTGCGCGCACCGGTTCTCCATGCTGGCCTGCACCTCGCGGAGCTCCTCCTCGCCGCTGTGCTCCATGTTACCCATGAGCACCTCCAGTGCAGAGTGGTCGTGCGCGCACGTATCGTCTTCGTTGATGATAATGTCGTACCGCCAGCGTTCGGGGATAAGCCCGCCGTAAAACACCACGCCGATCCAGTACCACACAAACGACTTGTACACCAACGGCGCGTAAAAGTAGAATGCAGTCACGATGCCCTCGTAGTACCACTTGCATAGAGACGTGGTGGCACCCAAAAACGCTAGCGACACGAAAAAACCTATTCGGAGCGGACGGCACTCGGGGCGGTCAAAGTAAGGCGACCAGTTGAAGATGAACCCGGCGATACCCAGCGCCACCAGTACCGCCATGAACGAGTAGAGGAGTTTTGCGTAGTTGTACAAGGAGCAGTACTCTGCAGCCACCACGGAGCACGTGATGAGCACAGTGATGCCCGTGTAGTCGACGCAGGCAAAGCGGTTGCGGATCTTGAGCTGCGCAAAGCACAGGTACGTGTGCCAGAGCACAGAGCTGACGAGGCACGCGAGCGCCGCCAAGAGAAAGAGGTACATGACCACGTTACCCGTGCGTGAGTTGAGCGTGTACACCTGCGTCTGGGGGAAGTGCACAAGCCCCAAGTAACACACGGCGGCTGCACCGCAGATGTGCGTCCAGATGTTGGCCAGCTCGTTGTGGTTGAGGTGGAGCATCAGCCGCCACATCTCGCGGTGGCTGAGGTTGAACCGGTACCCGTGGATGATGTACCTGTTTTCGCGCCACAGGAGCGGGAGCTGGTAGTAGTGGAGGTACCCCTCCTGCGCGGCCCTGAGCGCACGATTAAAGTTGAAAAAGCGGTACCGGCTAAAGCGGGCGTCTGCGTCGTAATTGGCGGTGGCCTGCGGCGTGCGGCTCTGCACGAGCGCGTCTATCTGCGAGAGCTTCTGCTCGAAGTACGTCAAGTTGGTGATGATTTTGTTAGCGAGAAGCTCGCGGTTGCTGCTGAGCGACTCCAAATACAGAGGCGCTGCTGGCTCGCGCTTCTCCTCGCCTTCCTCGGGAAATAGGTAGTTGTACTTGTCGTCCAAAGCCTTGTAGAGATACTCGAGATTAAGCACCGAGGTCTTCAACACCTGGTCCTTCACCACGCTAAGCTGTTCATACACCTTGTTGAGATTGTACATGGAAAAGTGCTTGAGCGACAGGAGCGACGCCAGGCTCAGCCGCCGGGACCGGGCCGTTTCCGGCACGCCTGGCTGCTCGGCCTGTGGCGGCAAATCTTCCAAAAACACATCGTCCGAAATCTTGATGTACTGGTCGAATCGGTCGAGCCGGTGCTCGATGGACGACAAGAAAACGTCCAACTTCTCGATCAATGTATCCTCAACAGACCGCCGGGCATGCAGGTTTTCAGGGTTTTTTGAATCTGTGCCCCACTGCAGCCGCCTCCGGAGCTCTTGCTGCAGAAAACTCACCGTTTTGATGGCAGACATGGTCTGGAAGAAAACGCGGTGTTGAGATCGAAAAGGGTAGTGACGAGCCGGATGCCGGGTGTGAGAAATGGGGCGACACGGGGCTAGTTGCTTTTTTTGGGGCTTGCTGTATTTGGGCCGGAGTCTCTGTTTTCAGCCTTTGCACGTATGAGATAGCCACGTCTAGTGAGGAGATTTGCCACTACTAGTGCTTCTCACTGTCGGTATGGTGAATTGCTTTTGGCCAGACGCTTGTGTGCCACGTGGATACATAAATCCTGCGTCGTGAAAGTAAGTTCTAGGCTTCAGGCAGATATGCTGGGGAAGTGCCAGAAGCAGCCAGAAAACGGAGTGTATTTGAGGTGCCACTAAAGCATGGTTCTCAAGAGCCTGATAAAACTGCCCTTGCCAAATCAGCAGGCAGGCCCGTGTGTGCAGGAATTAGGAAATAGGGGTCCGTCTCGGATGTGCATTCACAAAAACGCAAATGTTCCAGAGCTGCGGGCTTTGCTTGTGGTAACATTCGTAAATGCCAGGTAGTGCTTCTCTGCTTTGTACTTTTTAAAAAACCACCCTGGTATTCGGCCCACGTTTTGGTGCACCGGAATTGGATGCGCCCGTTTCTTTTTCGGGACGCGAGCGGACGAGAGTGACCTGGTTGTATGCAGGCGGGCGAAGAAAAGCGTTCTTCAAGCCCACTGTTTGACACCGTATCGAGCCATGATACACAATTCTCCATTGGTCTGACTTTCACCAACTTGTCAGCTGGAATTTCCGGTGACATCCCGGTATGGTTGGATGTACGGGTGTGGCTTATCAGCGTGTGCAAATCAGAACAGGCGGCTATAGTGCTGAGATATTAGCTGATGTTTCTGTTGGTGTTTTGGCTGGCTTTTTGGTTGATGTCTTGACTGATGTTTTGGATGGTTTCTTGGATCATAAATCTGTTAATTCTGAAGCAGAGTTTTTCAGATACGCGTTTGAAATTCAGACGAGATCATAATAAGGAGATGGCAGCGAATGACGTAGCGAGTCACATTGACATGTGCAGGCCGTTGCACCCGGGTGGACTGGTACAAATATTGGATTCCGTGGCATTCACACTTTAGGATCTAGACTGAGAAAAACCTTTCTCATTTTGTCACCACGCAGAGTTTTGAAGGACTTGTTCTTTTTTGCAGACTTTGCAGACTCAGAAAAGCAAATATATAAATGTCATCCTCATCCATGACGAGCGATGAGCCGCACCTTCCCCCAAAAGGTTGTAGTATGATGAAAGCTGAAAATCTCGATGGGTGAACAGTTGAGATATTCCGGACCAAAACATATCATTTTTCTGCAGAGACATTAATATTTTTGCTTTGCAAGTATCTCTTTTAAGCTCTGTTTCTTTTTCATATGTCTTTTTTCAAATATTTCTGTAGAGCTCACAAAATTGTCAAAACCTCACCTCTTCAAAAGAAACTTTGCAATCCCGGAAAGAAACATGTGCGTACTTGAGCTCAATTTCTCCTCAGCCTGGATTTTATATACGGTCATTATTTAAAACACTGTCAGATAAATTGTTATACTTGCTGGAGGTCTTCGCCAAAATTGGGGTTATCAATTTTGCTTCTCTCGCGCGGTTGCAAAGCTTATGAACAGCTATGGATGTTTCTAGACCGCATATCAATTTGTTTATGGGGACTTGAATTGTCTGGTCGTGTTTTCTCCTTCGTGATATTGAAAAATTATAGACTAATTTGCATACTGAAAATCCCCATTGAACTTTGAGGTTGTACCTTACCAGTTTCAAAGTACGAGGGGAGAAGCTATAGCCATGATTAATACGCAAAGTTCTTTTTAAGTTCACATTACCCATATTCATTCATTTCTAACACACTGGACACTATGCTAGTCTGAATAGTAAAATATAGAAGACCTATAAATGTTTCGGATAAAGAAGCAACTGGTGATTCGAGATATGGAAACCAAAAGCTACAGTTTCCCACAGAACCGTATCATCGAAGAAGTCTTGGCGACGTGAGAAATGGCGTTCTTCGTGAATCTGACGTTTGCTCCCTTACGTCTTTTTTAAAATTTTTGGTGTGGTTTAGGGGGCTGAAAAAGTGTAAGGAGCAATGTGCTGCCTATTCATTCAAGCAAGGTTCTCGAAACATGTTCAATTTTGATAAGATGAAACTAGTCGTTTCAATTCAAATCATCAGATATGGAGCTCGGTTACTTTCACAAGCTCAATTATGCATATATTAAAGAAAGATAACTTATGTGATTTCCAAACTTACTCAAATAATCGGTAAGGAAAGTGAGCGCAGTTGAGAACCAAAAATTACGAAAAAGAATGGATGTTCAAATACATGGGTTTTGTTTCATATGTATATCGGTTAGATAAACCCCCCCATGACTTTGCAAAAGAAAGAAAAATGACGGGGACTATACTTTCACAATCTCGACTGGGTCATTTGAGAATTGAGAATTGAGATGCTGTTTATCAATTGTTGATTGCACCTGATTCATATGAAACTATGATTTTTTTCCGTACATTTGGTGAAATCCTTGAATGAACTTTCTTTGGCTAGCTCGAAACAGCCAAAGTAGGGAAGTGTTGAATATCAACTAAAAAAGAAAAGATACTGCTTAGACATTCTATTAACAAACTAGACAAAACTCGAGCCTTGTTGAGTTTTCAGCTCACGATGGCAGGTACAATATGCGCCAAGGGGAAGCCTCTGATAGGTTCAGTCTCATGCGAGAAAGTTAAGAAATGGTCTTGAGACTCAGAGGTGCGGCGAAATAAAGCCTTAAGAATGTACCATGTCATCCAAATTGATATGCTTATATAAACGAATGTATAGAAGTACTTAGCAATGTATCGGTGATGCAACTTGATTAGTAAGGTGTTGATCCTGGGGCGACAACAAAGCACTTCTGTCTGAACCCTGTCATGTTGAGGGTGCAAAAGTCAAAAAACTGCACAGCAAATTACAGTTGACTTTGGGGGAGGGGGTATGATTTGATTTGGATTGCCTTGGCGTTAGCTTTTCTTGAGGGCATACTCGACAATCACAACGAAGTGCTCACCAGTGATAACGACCCGGTGCATCTTCAAGCCAAAAATCGTACTGATTTTGCTTCACTAAGAATGCGCCGTCCGTTCGAATGCCTCGTACTCAAAAAGCGAGTTTCTGAGAGGCTTAGAAAAGCCGACTTTACCCACCAAATTATTGTACATCTCTAGCGTACGTGGGTCTTCGAAGGCCGTGGTGTTATCTTTGCCTTCGTTAGTGAAGAGAATGGCTTTCTCATGCAAATGCCAGTCCGTGAACTTGCTCGTAAGGTAGTATTCCGCCAATGTCTCGTCGTCCTCCAAGAGCTCAAGACCATCGTCATCATCCATGGCTTGGATGCGAGTGACCATTGTTTGAATGTCGAAGTTTCCATCCTCGTTCTGGTAGTCCTCTTCATTGAAAATGGCGGTCAACTTGTCTTTGGTGATCCAGAGCTGGAGCTTGGGCACGAAGAACCAGTCATGGAATTCGTAGCTATCCGTGCCGTGCGAGTATTCCCATTTCAATCTGTCTGAAATCTGGTTTGGAATATACAACGGCACTCCGCCCATCATGGAATAATGGAGCGGCAGGAGCTGCGGAAGCGTGTAGAAATGCTTACGTCTGTCGTTGTATACCTCTGCAGCAGCGTCATCGTCAGCCTTTTGGACGATCGGGTTATCTTTGTACTCTTGAGGCAAGTTCATGCTTGACTTTGCGAGACCCGTGATGTCAATGTAGATTCCAGAGTCCACGTCCACAAACCGAGCATCGATGTGGTTTCCGGTGTCGGATCTTTCCCTGTTGTGGATGTAAGTGCCGACATCAATCAAGAACTTACCGTACCCTTCCGACGGGTTTTCAACAACAAGAGTCTGGTTGTAATCCCTGCCGAGTCTGACCAACTCGGAGATTGGCATCTGGATGTCAATATCCACATCGTAGGGGAACATGAGGCCGTCCCAGTACCAGGCCAACAACGGGCCGTGCATGATCCAGGAAACAATGCCCTTTTCCTCGGCAAACCGGTTCCAGTTTCTCAGCAAACGCTCGAGAATGATATTCGTTCTCTCGATTCTCTCTGCCTTGGTCCAGCCTATCCTGTCATAGAATAGCGCATCATTGAAGAACCGCCAGTCATAGTGCCAGCCCCAGTCGTTTTGTATGTTCCTGCGTTCTTGGATGTTCAAGAGCGCCATTTTGAAGTACGTGGGCTCGTTGGTGCCGTCGTACATGGCACATGTTTTGAGCCCATCCAAGTAGGCCTGCTCCATGACATCCCGCAGAGGCTGTTTCTCAAGAGCATCGATCTGCTCCTGGATCCTCTCCTTTGGATAGTCAAAGTGCTTTTCTTCCAATTTGATATCCTTGTTCGTTCCGGGCTTGCTTTTCACGATGCGGGACATGCCCATAGGGTCTGCGTCTTCTGCCAAATAGTGAGGAGTCACCGAGCCAAGCAATTCTTGATGCACTGTTTTCGGATTGATGTTGATTTCTTGTCCATGATCGGTCGCTTCTTCGAGTGGGACATCAAGGGTGGTCAGAACAAACCGCTTGGACATCTCGCCATAGAGCAACCGCTGACTCGTGCCTGTTGTCTGGTTGACTATGAACTCGTAGGTGCCTCCTCTCTTAGCATCGTTCAAAAGAATCACTTTGAAAGGCTTGGGCAAGTACGACATGGTGTGCGACTTGGCCATGAACACACGCACGTCGTTATTGGCAGGGTTCTCATGGGGACAGTGGTCGAAAATCACGGCCTGTGGAAGCTGGTCCCTGTTCTTGAATCCCAACGTTTCCAACTCCTCGTCGCTGATATCGTTGCGATCTTTGCAGAACTTACCGACATCCGGCTGGCCCTTGATTCTGAGCCGGAGCCGCTTACACGAGAAATCCTCGATGTGGGGAATGCCAGCCGGCATGGACACATCGACCCAGTCCACCCAGTGAAATGGAAGAGTGGGGAGTTCAGGCGTATCTCCGATTTGCTGCAACTCGTTCATATAAACCGAGATGGTGACCCGAGGGTCGTAGAAAATATCCTTGGGACCCGCTGACTCGTCTTGAGCCACGATATTGTCTACTTGAACCTTCACATCAAGATGCTTCAATTCGCTGTTGGCCTGCCAAAACCTGTCTTTTTGCGAGGCTACAGCGGCAAATAGTTTCTTGACTTTGAGATGGAAGTTCTCGGGCGAGAGAAACATGCCTTGCTGAAAGCGGACATCCAGCAGAGAACTGAAAATCTGGCAGTACGAAAGGACAAGCACATCGACAATGAGAAATGCGATCACCGCATTGAGAACGGCTTTCCGCGATAAGCTGCCCAATAGCTTATTGAGGAGCATTTTTGGATTCCACTGATGTTTCTTGTGGCCAGGGTATCCTTTTTAGAAGCGGCTCGTATTTGGTGTATACTTGCTGTTAAGACACTCAAAGCAGTTCCTCCACAGTAGTCCGTTGTTGAGATATAGACCCGGGATATATTACCCTGGACTCTAACTTATTACTGATAACCGATCGAGACCAAACCAGTGGTGGGTTCCCGCGTGAAGAGTTTTCAAATCCCACGCCCGGTCCTGCTCACTATATGCAGTATACCGATTCTCCGTGATGATTTATGTTAACACTTGCAAAACGGGGTAGGCGGCAGACGTATCACGGATGGCCTGCAGGATTTTTCAAGCTTCAGACACTGATGTCTTTGACTTTCAAACTGAGCTTAGTTAAAAGTCAGCCGCTCAAGCCTAAAAGAAATGGAAGAAAGAGTTGTAAACAAAACGGGGGGCACCCTTTCCACATATCAACAAGGCTTGGGGCTTTGCCAACCATAGGGCTTTACACTTGGTAAAATCTTTTTTTTTTTTCTGCATCTTCTCCACCTATCGGCAGGTCTCCTGTGAAGCGCGACGCATGCCTTGTATTTAACCACAGGAATACTCGCGGCAACAATAGCCCTGGACAATACAACAGGACCCTTCTTTCTGTCCAAGCTTGGGGTCATGAGTTACGAGACATGTGTTTTCCCTTCCGTGATTTTCTTGCCAGCAACATCTTCATAGCCTTAAAGTTGACTGCGTTTATGATGCCCAGAACCTTCAGCCCCGGAGTCACGTTTCTCACACGGCACGCGAAAATACAGGCGCAGAATCTGCATATCGCTCCTTGTCGAGTACTGCATCCGCATCTGAGTGTCGTGTGACCTTAACTTCTGATAAGATAAAACATAATCTAGTTTTGAAAGCGACCGGGGCTCATGTCAGAGTCGCATTTGGCTCCTTGGCCAAGCCCTCGAGAATATCATTGATCTGAGCATGCATAGGCCCCACCAACTTTTGGATCTCGGTGTTGGCGACCTCGCTCATTAGTTTGTCTAATTCCGCGATCTGCTTCAAAACATGGGCGTTTCCCTGACCACTGCGGTATGCATATGCGGCTTTTTCTCCCAGGTGGTCAAGGTTAAACTCCTCCAAATCCTCACCTGAAACACCAAGTTCATGTGGCAGCATTTCAAATAGCCCGTTGTTTAGCCTATCCCATTGTTGGTCGATCGCCTTCTGATGCGAGCTCAAAACCTTTTTGTTTGGGTCTGCAGTTGCGTCCGCGGAGCCCTCCCCGCGCACGCATTCTTGGTCTGCGTTCCCGGCGTTCGCAGCGGTCTTGAGGCAGGTTTTGAGAAGGAGACGTTTCTTCAAAATCAACTCGATCCGTGCATTGAGATCTTTAAGGAACTTCTCCTCGTCCACGGGTTCCGTGGGCACCATGGCAGCAAAGTCGAGTTTCACTTTTTCTGGGTCTGAGAATTTGGTGCGGAGAGCGATCAAGAAACTCTCGATCCACGCGATCAATTTGAAGAAAAGCTTGCCGTCGTCTTTATTGTACAAGTCATGTAGGAAGCGGTAGAACGTGCCCTCGTATTTATCCAAGAGCTTTTTAAACCTGTTAAACATTTCCACCGAGCTGGTGAAGTACATTTCGCCCTCGTCCAAAATAGTGAGCTCCCTAAGGAGATCGTCAACAAAGTTTTGGAAATCGCGAAAGACTAAGTGCACATTGCACTTCTTCATGACAGTCATTAAGGGCTGGTAGACCACAGTAAGCACCGTTTTGATGAGCTGGGTGAGCTCCGGCTCTCTCCAAAGCTGCTTGAAGATCTCCTTGTCACGAGTGCGTGTCTCCAACTGCCAGAACTGCTTCAAGGTGATGTAGACCGAAGCGGCATCTGGCGCCAGCTCGGGTCCAAGTTGCTTGTAGCTTTCGAAGGACGGCTTGATGACGCGATCGAAAATGGAGCGCTCGGGCCCGGACAAGTTGGGCTCGATCAAGTCGGAGCTCAAGATGGTTAGGAGGAAGCTTGCTCCCTCGTGGATGTTTTCTTGTTGGAGCTCGTGGTCCAAGTCGGGGTCGCTGGCAGCCACGAACGCGGAGATACGCTGGAGGAACACCTTGAGCTCGGGCAGGTCCAAAGGCAGGGTGGACAAGACCTTGCGGCGCTCCTTGGAGAAGTCGTCCAAGTCCTCGTCCAAGAGCATGATGAAGATCATGGAGAGGAGGTTGTGGGTGTGGCCCAGGTTGCGGCCGAAGGAGGGCACGTTCATCAACAAGAGGTCGACCATGCGCGACATGATCTTGACCGGGTTGGTGTACTTCAAGATGCCGTAGCACATGCGGTAGGGGAACATGCGGTGGAACTTACGGCACTTCTGCAACATCAGGCTGGAGTTGTCCTGGGTCAAGAACATCTGGTAGAGCGTGGCGGCGATCTCGAGCTTGCACCACTCCAAGAAGGAGGTGACGAGCGGCGAGATGCCGTCCGGGTGTGCGCTTCGCCCGATGTCCTCGAAGACGGCGGTGAGCTGGTGCGGGTCCGAGAGCAAAGCGGATTTGAAGGTCTCGAAGTTGCGGCTGAGTTGGTAGACCACGCCCGCGATGTGATTCTGGAACTCCTCCTGGGTGACGAGGCGCGTTTTCTCGAGCGCCGCGCGCTGCTCGTAGTCGTGCAACTGGGCGGGCGAGAGGGCAGAGAAGTTGAGCGCGGGGTCGTCGAGGAACAGGACGAACGCCAGGCAGGTGGCGATCTCGCGTTTGTGGAGCAACGAGTTGAGGTAGCCGCGGAGCGCCATGCGGAGCTTCTCGGCGTGGTACATGTGGGGGCGGCCGTGGGGCGTGGCGCTGGCGGCGGGGGATTGGGCTGGGGATTGGGCGGTGGGTCTCGCGGAGGCATTCTCCAGGGCACTAGGGCCAGCGGAGGCATTCTCCAGGGCGCTGATTCCAGCGGAGGCATTCTCCAGGGCGCTGATTCCAGCGGAGGCATTCTCCAGGGCGCTGATTCCAGCGGAGGCATTCTCCAGGGCGCTGATTCCAGCGGAGGCATTC